GGCAGGAATGTTGGAGGTTGAAAAAGGGAAAAGATGGAGGGAGGTAAATGTGAGATAAAATGGTGAGACGCAGAAATTGCAAATTAAAAGAAGACTGGCAAAGGAGGAGGCTGTAGCTCAGGCGCTGCGTATATTTCTTGTCTACCAATGGGAAAGCTGGGGGATTGAGCTCCAGATCCTCCTGTCCATGTGTCTAAGTATCCTTGGGCAAGATACTGACACCCAGGTTGCCCCGATCCATCCATCCAAGTGTGAGTGTGTGAATGTTAGATAGAAGTGCTTAGATACAGATAAAAGCACTGTGTCAATGCTAAATAATTGAGGAGGAAGGTGCTGTGTAAGTGTTAACAAAAGAAAGACAAAACAGTCTTTTCTGACTGTGTTTAGAATGCAGAGGCAGAACTGTCCCTGCTTGATTTATGTAAGTGCAAAAAAAAAAAGAAAGTAGAAATACAAAACAAATCTAGCATCACGCCACATCTAATAATACATTTCTAAGAAAAATGGACTAAAGCTGTTAACAGTCAATCTTTTCTGGTTTAAATAAGATGCAATTTTGTTAATAACATAATGTGTTAATTAAAGGATCTTAAGTGACTCTGTTTTATAAGTTAAGTAAAAAAATGGTCTAGCACTATAATGGAAAAATTAAGAATACAGCAATGTTCACAAGCCCATTCATGTTTAGTCATTTTGTACATAAAGGCACACAAATACATACTGTGCCTATAAAAAACTAATAAAATGTGTCATCTTAAAATGAAAAAGCAAAGTAGGAATGACCACCAGGATCCTGGTAACTGGCAGGCTTACACAAGATAGCTGCCTGCTGGAAAATCACTATGGCACCATCTAACTCCATCTCTCATTCACACACACATCTACAGGACTGTGCATCGAAAATTGGATGCACACACCCGACGCGCACATCACTATAACCTAAAACTCTAATAGCTGTCAGCGTTCACAGCCCAATGTGCTTAGCTTAAGATGATTGGTGTGTCCCATTGATTTTGTGCCTCTGCTGTTCCATGGCACTGGGAGATTGGAGTAGATTGGATTATCAGCACATACTCATGTCACTGACGGCAAATTTGGCTGCCAAATGTAACGGCTTGAAGGAACCCCTCCTTATAATATGTGTAAATGTGTAGTGCCGTCCTGTTTTTGTCAATACAAGTGCTTTGAAATGTTTGTGTTCCAGTGAAAGTGCGAGTGTTTAATGTGTGGACTTGTTTTTGTCATGCCTCACAGGGTTTCTGTAAATGTGAGCATGAGTCATGTAGAAGCTAAATTGGCTTTTCGCTTGTTTTCTCATTCAGTGCATGTTTTGTCTGTAAAGAAAATCACTGTAATTCTAAGAATATGTGCAATATGGATGACTCTCATGCATCTTTGCTTGAATATGTATATTTTTGGGGGGAGTTAGGGTTTGTATTTGTGCATTATGTCTCTAGTATTGTGAATACTGATATGCCTTCCCTTCCCTTTCTCACGCTGCCATATCTCAGTCAACATTACTCTTTACTCCTACTGGTAGATGACTTAATCGCTTGTGCCCACCTTCTTTGCATAAGCAACAATTACTCCCTACCACTGTTGATATTTGCCTAATTTCATTAACATTTCCTGGTCTTTGGTCTCCACGTTGCTGCCAGTTTTCATTTTCATGTATGACCTTTAGGAAATCAATACTGATTTGACCATTTTCATTCACAATCAAACCAATTTCTCACTGGATGCTTTTCTTAGATGGCAACAAACAAACAAACAGACATACGTTCATAGCAAATACAATTTCCTTTGCAATTCTGCCACTTTGTGGTCTCCATGCTTACAGAGTGATGATTACTTGGTAGTTTTAGCCACTGATCACTTTTAACTCAATATAATCTTGGCACATTTAACACAAAGTCAGCAGCTGATGGAAACTGTTTGTTGTTAATCACAATGGTGGCTCAATATGCCAAGGACTCCTGATGTGAAAAATGAAGCTTTGCCAAAAAGTGAGGTTCTAGGCTAATATTGATTTTGTGTCTTCCCTGTTTCATAGCACTGGAAGAGCACATATTCATGCCAATAACAGTACATTTGGCTGTCAAATGTAGCTGCTTGCATCTAAATGCAAGTCAAAATGATAGAGCGAAGGGAGACTCTCTACAGCTAAAACACAGAAACTGTACAGCATGTTTTGATATCATCGCTTGTCTCTGTGACATGCTTTCAACAACAGGTGAAAAGACATCTATTTAGACAAGCATTTGGGTGTTTTGAATTCTGTGTTGTTTCACCTGGTTCATGTGAGATCATTTTAAACACATATCAGCTGTTTTCTTTTTTTAAATTGATACCTCTGTAAAATATTTCATGGCTGCTTTCTTGTCTATTGAAGTGCTATGCAAATACATTTTACTTCTTACTTTAACAACTGTTACAAATGTCATATTTTGAAGGTTGGCGCACATCAACAGTTAATGCAGTTTGCATTATAAATGTTTAATTATAGTATTTTAAAGTTAAGTAAATCTGTCTTGAAGTTGTAACGTTCACATCCAAACTGATTTCCAGAGGAATCCTTAACCGTCATCAGCTACTATACCTTAGAGAATCTCATCAAGGTGCTTCATATCCGAAGGTAGACCCTACAATAATACATACAGAGAAAAACCCAACAATCAAATGACCCCCTATCAGCAAGCACTTTGGCGACAGTTGAACTAAAAACTCCCTTTTAACAGGAAGAAACCTCCGACAGAACCAGGCTCAGGGAGGGACGGCCATCTGCCACGACAGGTTAGGAAGAGAGAGGGAAGACATGACAAAAAACATGGTGTGGAAGAGAGCCAGAGATTAATAACGAGTATGATTCAATGCAGAGAGGTCTGTTAACCCATAGTGAGTGAGAAAGGTGACTGAAGAAGAAATACAAAATGCATCATGGGAATCCCCCAGCAGACTATTGCAGCATAACTAAGGGAGGATTCAGGGTCACCTGATCCATCCCTAACTATATGCTTTAGAAAAAGGAATGTTTTAAGCCTAATCTTAAAAGTAGAAATAGTGTCTCCCAAAATCAATATGATATTCAACATTTGAACTTTCGACAGGGTAATCTTTTGGACGTCATGTAGATGTCTATGACTTGTGCAGGGAATTTACATGACTAATAAATGTAATGTTTTTTTTATTTACAAATATCAACATTGTTTCTCTCAACATGATACATATGAATACAGATTATTTATCAACAAAGATGCTTTATTATGTGTTGACCTACTAATTTATTTAGCGCATGTTTTTTTTGTTTTGTTTGTTATTTAAAATTTCCCTGTTTTTCTTTAACTAGTTTATTTATTTTAATTAATCACCTTATTTATTTGTAACTAGGTTAAAACTTTTATTTTTTTTAAATATTAAAAACATTAAAATCCATGTTAAAATCCATGTTGAAATGTAAATGAAGTAATAATGGTTAAAGTATTTATACAATTTTTGGTATTCATTTTAAAAGGAGTAAAATGTGTTTAATAAGTAAAAAAAGTATTTGCATTAAATACCGTTTGTTTTTATTTTAGAGAGATTAGTATCCTGTTTTATTGTGAAGAGCTGTGTAAGACGAAACTAGTGTGTTCGTGAAGTGGCCTGCTCTGGGAGATGTTGCGATGGAAAATACGAAAAGTGTGTATTTATGAACTGGACTATTTGCCTGACAGTCTTTGTCAATGCACAGATAACATTTCTGCTCGAAATCCACCACGCAGCTGCTCACTTTTGCTGTAGCTCAGGAGCCCGCACCATCTTGGAGATGTCTGCTAATCACTCTGCATCCTTTTAAACATAACTGTTTCTGTACAGATAATATGCCCTCCACCCTCTGGAAACATGGGACTACAGAGCCTATACAATCAGAAGCATTATAAAAATGACATCTAAAATGAGTCTTACAAGTTTGACATTTAAAAGACATCCACAACAACCACATTTGGACCATAAATAGTCCCTACCCAAAGGTCTTACAGACGTCAACACTAGAAGTATAATAGACGTCGTTAAAAAGACGCCGCCTGGTGTTACACAAACAACCCTTTCGGTGGACCAGAATTGTGCATCCAAAACTGACTTCTAAAAGACGTCACTCTAACATCACTCTGCGCAAGTAAATTTCACAAAAATGCACACTACAGCTATTTTCATTCAAGTATTACTTAAGCTTTTACAAAAATAAACTGAATATATACACTTTATTCATTACATGCTCTCCAAGGACCGCTATCCTCCAGGAGAGGAAAAGAAAATGTGTTGGTGGGAAGAATGCTAAACTGTATTTTTACCATCCTTTCCTTATCCTTTTGAGAAATTGTTTTTCATTTTTTCATTGTTTCCTTCCCTATTTCCTTAATCGGATGTTTGTGGGTGTCATTACAGGAGCTGCAGTCCTGTTTAGTAGAAATAATTCTATTGGTATGATTAAACATACCAGATTACCTTGCTTTTATATGTCAGAGTTGTTGCCTCAGCTCTAGTGCGGCTATATTAGATGGGAAAGTATGAATTATTAATTGTATAAACACGGAGGGGTGTAATTGTCTGTCCCTATCTGTCTTTGCTGTGGACTGATGTGGAAATGAGCTTCAGTCTGAGTCACTGAGATAATGATTGAAGCCAAGAGAGGGAGGGCATGAGAGGAGAAGAAATATAAAGAAGTAGAAAGAAAGAAAAGAGAAAAAGAGGAGGAAGGTGGTGAGAGCAGCTGTGCAGCACTGAGAAGTGTGTCGCTCGATGAAGGCTTGAATGTTTATCTCACAGTGTGTCATCTCTAAAATCATCCATAAGGCTGTATGTACACGTACCTGAATTAGGTATTTACTTTTATCTCTGTCTACACTGCATGTAAGCAGAGCCCTCCAACAGAATGCATATATGTGTGAGTACATGGCCATCTGTAGGCTTGTCCGCATGTGTGTGTCCGCATGCATGTATGTCTGTGTGTGTTTGTATACCTCCTCTCCTGTTGAGCTTGGCATATCCAGGTGCATATCCACTGGAGAAGACAGACGAGCTGGTGAAGGCTGTGTGAGGCAGAGGAGAGGCAAGAGCCTCATCACACTTTTCTGTAGAGAGAAAGAACGCATATTAAAACAGAAGGAGTGAGAAACAGAAGAGGACGTTGGAAGAAAACAGAGGATATGATAAAGAGCTGTGTTTTTTGCTTTACATACACACTTTTTCATGCATAGAAAATACATTAAGTAGTTGTTGGTCATTTTAAATCCTATTTAACTGTAATTCTATGAGAAAATCTCAACTTAGTCAAACCAATTTGGCAAATTCACGAACACATTGCAAAAATATCCACCTTAACAGGCAATCTGGCCTGGTAACTAAATGCAGATGCAAAGCTGATTTAAAAAACCAAACAACCAATCAAAACAGAGGAGAAATACAAGTGGCTAAAATGAATTGCCCCAGCCTGAGGTTAAACCCTACACATATTTATTCTGCATTTGTTCACTTCTGAAATTTGAAGTACGAAGTAGGCATTTATAAATGACTATGATGAAATTTTAGGTTTGATTTTTCTGCAAAGAGATATAAATTTCAACTTCTTTCATTTAAATAGAAGTTTCATTGGGGTTGCTGTGAAGAAAATTATCTGAAAGACCACCACGGCGATGCTCCTCATAACCTCACTTTCAAGCTAACATTCTGCTAGTGCTCTCAAGAGAAAACAAAGAACGTGACGGCAGAGGAATACATATGAAACACACAAACACAGCAGAAATCAAAGGAAAGAAATACTGAATATTCCTCACATGCACACAGTGATTAAGTCTCTTCCCTCTCTTTTCTCTCAATCCACCCCTTTCACTCTCTCATCCACACAAACACACTCCCCTCTTCCAGTACATTAGGTTCCACGCAGAGAGAACTTGTGAATGGTCTGTCAGGTCAGGTAGGCACAGTCACTAGCTCTCTGTCATGTCCCACTACGTGTGTGTGTACGCACAGAGTCTGAGTATGTATGAGGGAGAGTCAAATTTAGAAAAGAGTGTTGTTTCTCCTTCTGTGAATGTGCATAGACAGATCACACACGTGTGTGTGTACAGTAGACTACATCTGGTGAAAGTCTCAAAGAGTTTGTGTTACAGGTGGGCTCATAGAGAATGGAAAATATCTAATCGTGACAATGTGTGTGGGTGTGTCCTTTTGTATGCTTGCATGCAAGTGTGCATTTCTCTTTGGAAAGCCTCCCTTGTGGTCTGAAAGAGCTCCACATTTTTCTCCTTTTGCTGCCTGCTTTGGCAGGTGGATATGCACAGAGACATCAAGGTTCTCCTTTATAAAAAGTAATGACATTTCTGGCACATTCATGTCACCCTGGAATATTAGCAAAGTCCACTTGCAACTGTCAGGCGTCTGACTCAGCATCATAGAATGGGAGAGAAGGGCAACAACGTGGTTTCAGGCAGCGGGATTTAAAAAGTCTGTTTGCATACTGTGTGAGGAGGTACGATTCTTTTAAAATGACTCAGGTGAGCCCGTGTCACCAGCTGCAACCCATGCCAGAACAGCTAGTGATGTGTTCCTGCTTATCTCCTTTTGCAGCTGTTCCACAGGTGCAGCTCTCGTGCAGCAGCATCTGGTCATGAAATTACAAGAAATCTTTGGGTCATGCTCAAGAGTCTCCAAATTTATTCTTGCACCCTAATTAATGATAATAGGATCCTCTATCACACAAACAAATGCACACGAGAGCTCCTTCACGGCTATGGACAAATGTTCTGCATCCATATATTCAACCGTTTGTGCAGTGATTGACACAAAGGCACAAACACTTGCGCTTAGATCCAGTCATACACTTGATGATTCTTCATTTTCATTCACACACTTGGGAACACAACAGCTTTACTGCAGCTTCCGTCTAATGAGTGTTTCTATAGGTTTGTTGGCAAAGTCTTGCTCTAGCTGCACATGAACAGGCTTTGTAGGTCACACAAACACACACGCACGCACACACTCACACTAACAGAATGCATTGAATAAAGGCTGGAAGAGGAGGCAGCAATGGAATGAAAGAAGGAGGCGAGTTAATAGAGAGAAAGTAGATTTTAAAGGAATCAAGGTGGTGAGAAATATAGTGAATTTCTTCAGTGCCTCCGCTTATTTCCTTAGGGCTCTCTAAACTCTCTTCTGGGGAGAAACCGCTATACATGTACGGATTTTAGAGATCAGAAGATATATACTAAAAAAAATTAAATAAATGAAAAAGGTGGAAAAGGTGGAAAGTCAACCTGTACCAAGGCCAATGTTCTATTTCACAATTTTAAAGAAAGTAACATGATTCAACATGAGATTCTTTTCCTCCTCTGTGCTCCACCTCTCCAACAGTTTGGTAGTATATGAGTAACCTTGCAGAAAAGAGAAAAAAAAATACAGAAAACGGTAATGATTGCATGCTTCCACAATGGCTTGTCTTGGTTGAAGAATGATGGTTCTAATATACAGTACTGATAATATAGTAGCTATTAACAACCCTGACCAGTAATGTGGAAATATCTTAAAATATGTGAAAAAGAACTTGGGTGAAAATGTGGTTTGCCTCTGAAAGCAGAACCCTGAATATTCGCAGCCATCACAAAGATCTATGAAACGAAACTTTAACTGTCTTTAATTTTGATAATGGCAAGACCTCCCGAGGCAAAATTGGTGGCTATGTTTACAAAGTGATTGATTAGACTTAAACGCAATTTGACCTCATAAGCTGCGCTCACTGTTTTCGCTATTACAGTACACTGCACCACATTTCCATTAAATCAGCTAAACAAAAAAAATTAGCATCTGTTTATTTGGGTCCTCGGTAAAGCTGCCAAATTCTTATTTTCCTTGCATCTCTATGTGTGCAGTTTATTTCTGGTGGTTGCTGTTGCTGTTGTTGCTGATTCCCAAGTCCAAAGGTATCCCCTGCCATGTGCATTACTCATGTATGTATTCACCCCTTATGTCTACTGGCTTCATAACATTCCACAGGCACTGATTCTACTCGCAGTTGAAATTTCATAGCATGCTGTTTTGATTCACAAGGGGACCGGTGATAACTACAACAACAATAATTTTAATATTGTATGTTAAAATAAAAATTTGTTTGTGGTTGATGGAATTGCAGTAGCAGTTTTATTCTTTTTTATACTGAAAGATGTACAATGGCTCATTCAAATGCAAACAATGTTAGACTCTCTGTAGCTTTCCTTCAGTGAAACGCCAGTGCTTCGGTATTGATCAGCTATTTTATTCCAGTGCTGAATATTTTAAGAAACCCAGAGTATATCTTTAACACACAGAATGAGCAAGTAAATCAACTAATGGTTTTGTTCATCATTTATTATTATTATTACCTCCTTCAGGGAGGTTGTGTTTTTGATAGTATTTGTGTGTGTGAATATCATTCTGTCTGTAAACACAATAACTCAAAAACCTTTGAATAAATTCAGATAAAACTTTGTAGGGGTGTAGAGCTGGGTCATGTTAACAATCCATCTTATATCCACCAGTCTAAAAAGTCAAGTCTGACCTCTCCTTCATGCTCAACAGATTGATCTGCTGTTTAGCAATGCTAATATTAATGCTATATAGAGCTGTCTAAAACTGTGTTTCTTACTGCTATTGTTTGTATTGAAAACATTATACAATACAGTAGTAAAATATTGTAATCAGTATAAACAGTATTGATCACATTATAGACTTTACTTTTGCATTTCACATCTGCCTTTCTTTCAAGCTGAACCAAAAATGTGTCAGCTTTAAAGCTCATCTAGAAGGCATGGTTAAGAGAAAGAGAATGAGCTGCTTAGTTAGTTAAAAATATACTGCATTATAATATTATATAATACGCCCAAGTTATCCTTATCCTGTTATTTGCAAATCAATATTATCCATGACCTACTCCTACATGATGTTTGTGTAATTAAAGTAAGCATCTAACGTGCTACACTTATCTGAATTTTGCTGCACTACAAACTTTTTAAAGTCTGTATAAAAAGGGCAAAGCAAACAAAGTAAATAAAGCTAGGCGAGGGAGCTGCCATGGTGGAGGTTTGCATTGTGTAGGCTTACATACATTGAAAATTAGCATTGTTTATGCCAAATATTTCCATTGTTTGAGTGTCAAGTACTACTGCTTTTTCAAAGCTGTCTTAAGGGTAAGTGCAAGGTGTCCTCTGGAGACTTGATGCACTGGTTGCTTCAGCATTAACAACTGAGAAGCAGTCCTCTTTCGAAGGGCGACAATGAAGAAAAAGGGCTGCCAGTGAGATGTGATCTTAGCCAGAAGTCTGTCAAGAAAGACCTCTTGAGCAACTCGCGTCTTGTTGGGAAGCTTTCTATTTTGTCCTCAGTTTTGCTTCATTTTTACAGTTCGGGTTTCTTTTTACTTGCCATTTAGTCAGGTTGAAAAACCAAAAACACCACAGTCGGTGACATTATATGAATGAGGATGGGCTCATTCATGTTGATTGGGGGGGACAACAAAGAACCAAGGACATAGCAGTGAAAAGAAAATGAAAAGTTTCTGCTTTTGTAATAAAGCCAATATACAGTGGCATATTTGAGAGGAACTCTAAAGCCCTGTCTGAGGCTTTAGTGCTCTACATAAAGCTGCATTTCGTCCATATGTGACTTGTGTGGAAAGAAGCCAGTAAATATACTTTGTCCTTATCTGAACTGAGTGTCTTTTTTATTGCTGTTACTTGAGAAAAAAAGCACAGAAATGATGGGAGACTGTATCCGATTTGATCATTCATAATGAATCCACTGTACATGTGAACCTGTTTGAAATGCCAACACCAGCACTAGCTGTATCAGGAAACCTTGATATCGTACAAATTGTTTGAACTTGAAATAAATAGAGAATTTAGGTTATACTGTAGCTGTGAAATTACTGGCAATAAATCTTACATTGTCTCTTTTCTCATTTTTCAGTCCTTAAGAAGGATTGCAGCTGTAAAAACAACAGTAATGCCCTGATTTATTGTTTTGCAATTATTAAATCACAGCACAGGGTTATACACAGGTAAATTGTATGGTATGTGTGTGAGAAAGGGCAACTTCTGTGTTT